AGAGAGAGAGAGATAAATAGGCAAACGAAAGAGACGCGAGGGAAGATGGGTTGTACCCGAGTACCGGTGGCCATGAGACGTTACTACTAGATTAGGTAGACAAGGTGGTGCCTGGCAGGGATCTCGGAGATCCACGGCGCGATAGGCAGACACGTAACACAAGATGTATAGGTCCGACCAACGGCGTGGCGGCGAGCAGCGTGGCACAACCCCGAACAACCGACGAATCGTTCGGTAGGTGATCCAATGGGATCACAGGGACACGCCGATTGGCGGGATTCCTCCAATGACGGGATGGTTAGGGAAGCCGGGTTTGGCTCGGAGGTCGGTTAGATAGCTCCTCGTCGACCCCCTCTAGGGGTAGGCGAGTGGGAGCCCTTCTCTCACACGCAAAAGGGGACATCTCATCACGACTCTTGGTAGCAGGCACTTCTCCGTAGTGGGCACTCCACTCATCGTGTCGTCGTACGGGTTCTCCGCGAGAGGCTGTGGGGCCCCGAGCCCGGACGAACGAACCAACGAACCAACGAACCAACGAACGAACGAACGAACGAACCAACCAACCAACGAACGAACGAACGAACGAACGATACGAACGAACGATACGAACGAACGATACGAACGAACGATACGAACGAACGATACGAACGAACGAACGAACGAACGAACGAACGAACGAACGAACGAACGAACGAGCGAGCGAGCGCGACCGGCCGAGCCGCTGGTCGAGTGGGTCTAAGCGGTCGTGAGGACCTCTCCAGGAGTACCCGACAGTCCTCTTCATTCATTCATCCATCCATCCATCCATCCATCTATCCAGCCAGCAAGCCAGCCAGCCAAGCCAACCAAGCCAGCTAGCAAGCCAGCCAGCCAGCCATCCATCCATAGACGCTCTCTCCTCTCCTACGGAGAGAGAGTGTATCCTCGACGAAGGTGGAGGCGAACCGTAGAGTGGTACATCTACCATCGTCTCTCTATCGGCAGAGTCCAAGGACTCGAAGACCCCCCGGGTGATTTCAGTCGGCCGCCGGCCGGCTCTGGCCGGCCACTCTCCTCTCCTCGACCACGTGTGTTGTGTCATCATTCTTGTGTTCTCGCCTTTCGTTTCGTATCGTTTCGCGTCGCGTCCGTGCTGTGTCGCATCGTGCCGCGTCGTGTCGTGCCTTTCGTCGTCGTCGTCGTCGTCGTTCCCTCGACGAATCGTTCTGTGCCTCTGGCTGTGTGTACCACCGTGCGACGTGGTTTTCTTCGTCCTGCAAAAGAGATCCGATCAGTCGCGTGGAAGCGCGGAACACGAACCCGTTCCCGAAAACCCGCAAGGGGCAAGTCTCGCTTCTGATACCTGAATTGATTCAACGAAACGACCTCTTGGCTCGTCGTTCGGTTTTCTCGTCTCGAGAAGCAAATGGTACGCGGCGGTGTATCGTCTACGGTTTCCGTGGTTTGACGGAGCGGCGCAGCTTCGACTTCGTTCCACTTCCGGCTACCGACGTAGATGCAGAACAGAGGAATGCGGCGACTAACGTGGTGTCGTCGTTGGACGCGTCCGGCTGCAGTCAGCGTTCCGCGTCTGAGCACGTCAAGTTGGTTGATCCGTCGATGAAGATCGTCCAGCGTGAAATGCCCCGGTTGCTCGGTTGCACCTTAACGATGAAACGATCGAACATCTTGCAGTGACCGAGTGGGTGGTGGGATTAAACCCGTTCGACAGTGTGCCTGTCCATCCAGTGTGGTGGTCGATCGAGTCGAGTCGATTCGATGGAACCAAGTGAAGCCACTGTGAATCGTTCGAAACTCTGAATCGCGTCGAGTGAGACGCGTCTCGTTTTCTCCTTCGTTTCGAGCGGACGATAAAACAACGACGGTCGTCGTTCGTTTTCCAGAGAAAGAAGAAACGCAAGAGAAATATATTCGGCGAGGGAATGGTGAATTAGTGTTAGCGGCGGACGATAAGTAGCTGACAGAGGAACTCTTCTCTATTTCTTTTTTTTTTTTTTTTCCGAGAACCGCGGCGAGCGTTCGACGGGGTGTAACAGGCGATCTAGATCTCGACGATCTAGAAATCGGTCGGCTGAACGGGTGGTCGGAGGCGGTGGTTGAAGTCATGTCGGTATCCAGCGGCTAGCGCCGGCCTCAGGATTCCGCGAAGCGCGAGCTTCAAGTACTTCGAGGGCGCGGGCCTCGTCGAGATGAGCGGTGGCAGCGGTGGTAACAACGCCGGCAACCAGGGGAACGGCAATGCCACCAGCTACCACCAGCATCAGCAACAGCAACAGCAACAGCAACAGCAGCAGCAGCAGCAACAACAACAGCAGCAGCAGCAACAGCAACAAACCCAGCTGGAGCAAGCTAGCTTGCTGACAGAACTAAACGGTATCGACCTGGCGATGAGCCTGTCGCCCAAACAGCATTCGTCCCACGTACAAGCCGCTGGTGGCGCTCATACCACTCCGTTCAGCGTTAATGACATCCTCTCGCCCATCGATAACGAGTCGTTCAGGAAGCTGGAGCAGGTGATCGGCGTCGGCGTGGTATCGCCTTACGGAAACGCGTGCGGCGCCCGTGTCGGCGGCAATACCGGTAGCTCGAGCGCGAGCAGCGGCAGTCCACCGCTTCACGGAGGCTCGACGCCCGGTGGCGGCACACCCGGACCGGTTTCCGGTCCGAACGACGCCGCCGGAGGAGGCAGCGGCGCTGCCGGTGCCGGCTCAGGCATGACCGCCATGGGCAATCCTTACGCGACCATGCAACTCACCTCGCAGTATCAGTACTGCGCCGCGGAATTGTCGTATCATCATGCGGGGCCACCGGTCGCTGGAGGCGCGACCGCCACCGACCCCATGAGATCTCATCATCCGTGGTACGCGCCCGCACCGCCGGCCACCAATGATCCCCGTTTCGCCAGTGAGTAACTTTCCCTTCTTACGCTTATATCTCACCTCTCTGTCTCTCTCTCTCTCTCTCTCTCTCTCTTCGTTTCTTGTAAGTTTTCTTTGCTTTCTCCTTCTCGTTCGTCTGAAAACGTGTGCCACGAGGGAGTGCGAGCGAGCTCCCAGTTAGAAAACAATCCGACGAGCTTCAATTTCTAAGATTTAGAGTCGTTTCTGCTCCCTTCGTGGAGATTCGTTGCCTCTGCAATTTAGGATCAGACTGTAAATGATGATGCTCATCTATCCGTTTGGTAAATTGAGTACGTAGCAGAGTCGTAGGTATTGGAACTTTAGAATTTTTAGAATCTTTGGAATCAAACTCCTGACTTTTAACTTGGAGGATTCATCTGATAAACTTTCTGCCAAGATTCTCTCGTTTTATCATCAAATTTATATAGAATCTGCATAATATAAATCAAACTGACTTTTAACTTGCAAGATTCATTTGAAAAACCTTCTGCCAGGTTCACTCTTATTTTACCATCAAATTTAATTTATGTAGAGTCTGCACGTCAGTCTCTATATAATATAAATCAAACTGACTTTTAACTTGCAAGATTCATCTGAAAAATCTTCTGCCAGGTTCACTCTTGTTTTACCATCAAATTTAATTTATGTAGAATCTGCACGTTAGTTTCTGTATAATATAAATCAAACTCGACCTTTAACTTGAAAATGTGACAACGTTTAACTTGAAACTTGCAAGACTCATCTGCTAGGATGCTCTTGTTTTGTCATCAAATTTGCTCGATATAGAATCGGCAGGTCAGTTTCTATGTAATATAAACTCTGCGACGTTTTTGGTTCAATTGCGCGCAAGAGCGAATCCTACGTAGTAGCTATGTGGGACAGACGTTTGAGTTTTTCGCTCAAAAATCAAAAGGAAGACACGACTTCCTGCGTGAAAAGGACACAGGCGAGGGAAAGAGAAGAGCAAATACGGCGAGAAGTTGCTCGCGATCATCCCTTTCGCCATTGACGAAGCACGTTTGCCCCGCTTTTATTAGCTTCGTGTCTACTTTTGTTAGTACTAGCTCGCACTCACGTCCATTTAGCCATTCGATGAAGTATCAGAGTCGTGTTTCAGAGTCCACAACAGCCTGCTTCCGTCACGTTGTCTCGTAGATTCCTCCGTCGCTTTAAACTTTCTTCTCCGTCACGTAGGTGTTCTGATTGAATGTCGAGATTATGACAATGATCGGCCTAACATTACCTTTCAAAAACTTTCAAATTCTTCACTTGTTTTCGAATCGAGGATCTTTCAATCTCAACTGCTCCTCTCTGCTGACTCTGCAAGGACGAGTATTCAGTTAGAGTAGTTTCTTCAGTTAAATAACTGGCCTTCACATAGGTATCGCAAATCGAATCTGCATAGATACGGAGGTACACGTAGATTCTCGAGGCTTCTCGCGTTTCAGCAGGCCGTTGAAGAAGATTGTCGGCCAACAAGGCTCGCGTCCTTCGGACTTGTGTCAACAGATGCCTCGTCTCCTTGGATTTTCTGTCGGCCGCACGCGCCACTCTCCGCTAGAGAACGTATATCGATCCCTCGTGGCCCCCGCCGAAATGCGTGGCTACCGGACACTACCGGAGATTTTAGTTAAACAAATAAGCCTGAACGACCCTCAACGAGGCTACCTTCAATTCTGCGTACACAGCTCTCTTTCCCCTCCCCCTCCCCTCTCTCTCCCTCCAATTTCTTTTCAGTTTTCATCTGCCGCCGGGTCTGCGAAAAAATATGCACAATGTAATAATTTGTTTATCGATTTCATTTGTTTTTGGAACGAATTTTTTAATACGTTAAGAGATCTTTCAACGTCGAAATTATCTGAAGATAGCGTGTCGATCCTCGAGACAAGAGCCTGCATCTTCCTCTTCATAAAGAGGTGATCTACGATATGAAACGTTACTCTCTGATAATTAACTGATAAAAAAAAAAAAAATAAGATTGAAGAAAGGGGAAGAGAGCCAAGGATTTGCTTATTCTTCTGATGATCCACGATACGAAACGTGTCTTCTGAATTTTGCAAGTTCCAGCTTCTGGCATAAATCTTGCTTGGCACGCTTCGAAAAGAACAGAAAATTACAAATTACAACCGACAGGTTGCAATCTGCAATGTTCCTCGACTTCCTTGTTATAAAGTCATCACACTTCAACTGCTCAACGACGACGAGGAGTGGTATTTTTGTGTTTGTCGTGGTGCCACGTAATTATCCGGTTGTCCTGCATTCTTTTCCTAACTTCGGGGCGATTCGACTTCGGTGGCCAGGTAGAAGACGTCAATTTGCTTAATGACGATCTTGCACGCTCGGGCGAATGTGATCCAGCCTTGTGTTCACCTCGATACTTTGAACTCGTCATTCCCTCGCCTGGCCTTCTATTGTCCCGCGGCCCATCGTTTTCACCGATGGAATATCATTACCGGCGCTAGTAATTTAATATCCATTCGTGTTGAATGATCTGGCACCTACAACGTCAATACGATCGTTTCTGTCATTTCTTTTTCTCTCTCTCTTTGAGAATACAAATTCCACAAAACTTTGTGAAACTTGTACACCTCGACAGACTAACTTGATTTGTAAACATTTAACTTACATTTGTAAACATTTTCAACAAATTATGGTTATCTTCACCATGTTGGTAATTATCTAGTGTCGCCTCGCGTTGCAACTTAGCTAAACTTACGTACCGTGTTAAACCTAACCTAAATCGAGCTTTTAACCTGTTTTTTGTTGTTGAAAAGTTTAGAGCTCAGTGTGGAGGAGAGAGATTCCCATTCAGTTTCTCGAACTGCGTAACTCCTTGATAAACGCATGGCCTCGCCATCGTAAACAAATTCGGTCGGTGTTTGGTGTCTCGAGTGGTATTTCTTTCCGTGAGGCGGGCACGGACTGACAGGCGGAGAATACGTTCGCACAGGCATAATACATAATAATTCGGGACGCTTCATTCGTGGAGACCTCCCGTGCTCGATGACGTAGCACTTTGCGCGGCTAAATCGTTCCTTTTGTCCTGGCCGGGACGTGTCCGTTCTTGACAGCCCTTCGCCAACTGACAAGGGATGGACTGCTCGTTGGGTTTCAGTAGCTCGAATTCAGAGGCTCTCTCTCTCTCTCCTTGTCGGGGAGCTGTTGCTTCTTTTTCTCGCGCGCGTGTGTGTGTGGTGTGTGTCTCTCTCTCTCTCTCTCCAGCGGGATTCCAACCGAGATAAATTATCTCGTAACCATTCTTCGCAACATCTACATCGACGTGACGGCGTGAAGTTGAATGTTCTTTGGCAGCCAAGGATGCAGGAACGCGTACCGATGATGATTCTTTCGTAATGGGACACACACGCAGGCTGAGAAAAATAAATATGATGGAAGTAATGCAGATGAGCTACGAAGAATATATATAGCTACGGTTGCGTTTCTTGCATTGCAAACATCTCCCGTTACAGAAAAGTAGATAGATGGATACCTGTAGCGTAGGTTCAGTAGAAAGATATTTCCATCGTCGTCTTCAAAGGAAAGACAAAAATTTTGTAATGGATAATTGCTTTTTCTAGAAACAATGACATTACATGGTACCTGTTCAATAAACTGATTCATACATTAGGATAATCTCAAACGTTTCCATCATCTCATTGATAGAAACATTTAACAAAATTACATCCTAAATAACAGAAATATATCTATTGTATTACTCTTTGGCTTGATAACTGATAAACTTTCAATATGTTACATATAATTGAAATATTAATAAATATTCAGTATAAAAATTGCTTTGTTGGGTAAAATTTTAATCTTTTTATATCATTATTATTAAATAAAGGTAATAAAAATGAAATAAAAATTGATATAAATAATATAATTACTCCTAATTTTCTAAACTTCTTTCTTTCAATAAAAGGAGGAAGCATATATAAAAATTTAATAGATATAAATTTGTATGTTACAGTAATTTCAAAAGGAAGTTTCTATCATCTCATTGGTAGAAACATTTGATAAACTTACCTATCTAAATAACAGAAATATACCTATTGTATTTTTTTTTTGGATTTATAATCTTCCGATTTCATAAACTTTCACTAAAAGAAAGAAGCATATACAAAAATTTAATAGATATAAATTTGTATGTTACAGTAATTTCAAAAGGAAGTTTTTATCATCTGATTGGTAGAAACATTTGACAAACTTACCTACCTAAATAACAGAAATATATCTTTTGTATTTTGATAAACTTTCAAGAAAAGAAAGAAGCAAATACAAAAATTGAATAGATATAAATTTACATGTTACAGTAATCTCAAAAGGGAAATCCTGTCATTTCATTGGTAGAAAAATTTGACAAACTTACCTATCTAAATAACAGAAATATATCTATTGTATTTTGATAAACTTTCAATAAAAGAAAGAAGCAAATACAAAAATTTAATAGATATAAATTTACATGTTCTGTCATTAGACTGATGAGAAACAAACTGACTACCTAAATAACAGAAACATATCTATTGTACTCTGGCTTGATGATCAGTTTGATAACCTTCCAATAAAAGAAAGAAGCAAATACTGAACAAGTACCTACACACGATCAGATAAATAACCGCAGTTCAATTAAAATGATTATGAAAAAAAAAAGAAAAAAAAAGAAAGAAAGAAACAAAGTGTCATTATCGATATCTCCAATGTTTTGTTACAGTCTCGCGACTAATGGGCGCCGCAGCAGCGGGCGCCGGGACCAACATGGCCGGCTGTTCGGTGGGCCAGTCAATGGGCGACGTGACCAAGTCGTCGGGCATGGGAGTGGGCGTCGGCGTCGGCGTCGGTGTCGGCATGGGCGTCGGCGCGATGCAATTCCCCCACCTTCCCCAGAGACGAAAGCGTCGCGTTCTGTTCACTCAGCAGCAGGTTCACGAGCTCGAGAGGCGGTTCAAGCAGCAGAAATACCTGAGCGCGCCTGAACGGGAACACCTAGCCGCCCTAATTCACCTTACGCCCACTCAGGTACGTGTCGAATGTTTATCTGCCTGCCGTTTTTGTCTTGCTTGGTCGCCCCCTTGGTCGTCGATCACGCATTTCTCGATCCACCGATCCACTTGCCAATCCAACGGTTTAACCGTCCAACGAGAATTGAATCTCAATTATGCAGGTATATTCAGTACACCACTGTGTCGACTCGTTTGAAAAGTTTGTCAGGATGACAATGAGACAGCATCAGTTGTTCAGCAGATATTTTACCTATCGTTAGTCGGAAACCTTTTATAACAAACTATTTTTGAACAAACTGACTACTTCAACAACGTTGCAACCCCCCCCTCTCTCTGTATATATATTTCTTGTTTAAAATGTGAAATATCAATAGAGGTTGAATTTCGATTAAGAAATTCAAACAAATGCCTCTCTTTCGCCAGATGTTTACAAACACGGTGAATCATTGTACTTCTGTTGTAACTTTCGCGCAGCCAATTACAACGCAGCAACAACGGTGATCCATCTCGATTTCGATCAGCCGGATCGGGGTCCAGCTACTTCTGTTGTACCAGAACACGGTGCTTGAAATTGTGCACACAGGCTTACACACGCACGCACGCACGCACGCACGCACGCGATGAGGATTAATTGCTGAGAGGAGATTAATTGCAGGGAGCAGGTGGTGGGTGTACGCGTGGGTGTATCTACGTCTCTCGGCCAATCGGATCGATCGACCTCAGGGGCGTTGGTTGCGTCGGAGTTGTTAGCCGGAAATGTCGAGGCAAACTGCTGCGACGAATAGACGTTCGATTGCGAACCTCTGAAATTAATGGACGTTTTTTCAGCCAAACCTAACCTAAACCTACGAGTATATCTAATTGATAGAATTTAGGATAAATGCCTGTTCAGGGGGCTTGATCGTTGCTTGTTCCCGCCACGTGTTCTAAGACAATTTGTTGGCACACCAATCTCACATTCGTGATGGACAAATGAACTTCCAAACGGAGAGAAACTGGTGCCCCAGGTGGAAATTTTTCCAGGAGAGAGCACACCTAGGTGTCGGCTATTTTCGAGTGATGTTCAGCGCGTTGAAGTGATAGGTAGATATTATTTGCACGCGTTCACTAACTCTGCTGGTGAAAGTGTTAAGCAAATCGTGCAGGCACGATGCTGCCAATGCGTTGAAAAACGCTTTCGGAGAAGTGTGTTTGTTCGAAGCACGAGAAATGGAATTCAAGCAGGTAGAATCGTCAACCCGGAGAGTCACTCTCAGGCTGAGCGTGTAAATATTGTCTTAGGTACCCGAAATTTTTCTCTAGCGGCCAGCCACCGAATCGCCAATTATCGAATTAACGTCCACGAAAATACGCGAAGCCTAGAAAGAGCATAAAAATAAATCCCCCTAGTCAACCGAAAGTCAACAAATTCAATCTCTGCTTCAACATAAATTAATCATTCATTGCAAAACGCCGTTGTCATTCTATCTCGTTCCGTCACCTTTTCATCTCTTGCTTCTACATCTTCCCCACGTAAGTAAACTATGTTTTGTATTAACACGTTCAGGCCAATATTCCTTTGGTCTCGTCGTTCGTGCAACACACGGGCTGATTTGGCCGAGGTTGCAAGCAAACGGTTTCGGCGGTGGCCATTTAAAGCGGTAAAGCCAGAATCAGATTTTAACGAGCAATCTTCATTGGGCAGACAGGTCTGCCCGGCACGATACGCCAGTCTGGTAACAATAAATAATTGTTGCGCAGCTCATTGGTTGCATCCTGGCCGCTCGCGTCCCCTCGTTCAGTCTACCGTTTTGTCTACCGCGCGTCTCTCCGTTTAATCCGCTTGTCGTTTGTCTAAAGCCTGAAACACGCACGATCGACATACGATCATTCACGAACACCGTATCTGCCACGAACGAACTTCTCCGTTCGGTGGTCATCAACGACGAGAAAGTAGCAAAAATGACCAATTTACCAATTTCACAATGATTCACCTATGACACGGTAAATGCCATGTTTTCGAATGTTATATTCTGCACAAGGTCTTTTATGAAGTTCTTTGAACACATTTCATTCTACAAAAACCGTTCTTCTCTCTTCTTTTTTTTTTTTTACTTTAAGAGTTCATAACCATCATTATATCACTTCAAATTGTAGCAAAAAGTAACAGAAACCACCAACTGACCATTTTCACAATGAATCATCTATGATATATTATGTTATCATATTTTGTATAGATGCATGACGTCTTACCATGATAGGTATTAACTCAATTTTTTCATAAAATTTCTTAAATACATTTTATTCTATAAAAACTATTTTGTCTCTCGAACCTTCTTCCTTCTTTCTCATAATCGTCATCAACTTTAAATTCTAGGAAAGTGTAATAAAAATGACCATTTTTCACAATGAATAATCTGTAACACAGCAAATACCATGTCAAATATCATATTATGCGTAGATATATCTTCTATTATCTTCTGTATCTTCTACTATATATCTTCTATCACAGATATTATCTAAATTCTTTTATAAAATTCTTTAAACACATTTTATTCTACAAAAACTATTTTGTCTCTCAAACCTTCTTTCTTCTTTTTTCTTTGACAGCTCATAATCGTCATCAACTTCAAATTCTAGCAAAATGTAGTAAAAATGACCATTTTCGCAATGAATTACCTGCAACACAATAAATACCATGTCAAATATCATATGCATAGGTATATCTTCTATTATCTTCTGTATCTTCTACTATATATCTTCTATTACAGATATTATCTCAATTCTTTTATAAAATTCTTTAAACACATTTTATTCTACAAAAACTATTTTGTCTCTCCAATCTTCTTTCTTCTTTTTTCTTTAAGAACTCATTATCAATTTTAAACTCTGGTAAAAATGACTATTTTCGCAATGAATTACTTGCAACACAATAAATACCATGTTTGTATCTGTATACATCTTTTACTATCATAGATATTATTTTAATTCTTTTATAAAATTCTCTAAATACATTTCATTCTATAAAAACTATTTTGTCACTTCAATCTTTTTTCTCCTTTTTTCTTTAAGAACTCATTATCAATTTTAAACTTTGGTAAAAATGACTATTTTCGCAATGAATTAGCTGCAACACAATAAATACTATGTTTGTACATGTATACATCTTTTACTATCATAGATATTATCTCAATTCTTTTACAAAATTCTCTAAATATATTTCATTCTACAAAAACTATTTTGTCACTCCAATCTTCTTTCTTCTTTTTTCTTTAAGAACTCATAATCATTATCAATTTTAAACTCTGGTAAAAATGACCATTTTTGCAATGAATTATCCGTAACACAATAAATACAACGTTGTCAAATATCATATTATGCATTATTCTACATAACTATTTCGCTATGAATTATTATAAATTTCTACAAAAAAACTGCTTCTTTCTTCTTTGAGAACTCGTCATCGTCATCAATCTCAATTCTCTGTCTTCTTTTCATTTTTGACGATTTCTTCTTCAATGCACGAGTAGTCGCCATCTTCGACGATATTCGACGGAATGCAATGGCTTGCAAACAGATGCTCGCGAGAGATTTCGTCCGGAGGAATCGAGCATGGGGAGAACCGAGACAAGACGCTAAATGCTGTACCAGGCGGAAGGCGTGCGTTCGCTCCCTAAACCGGAAGTCGTCAGGGACTCCCCCGAGTCGATGACTCGGCGAAGTCTATGCGGAATTGAGCGCGGAAGTTCGCAAAGAGGGCTGATTGCAATCAGCCGCGGATTTTCGCGTGGCCTCGCCAGGGGCGAGGTATCGCTGGTTGTACGCCCGCGCATAAGTTTCGATAACGAGTTTCAGGCTCGATGGTACTCGGATCTCGCCCGAGCTGTGAATACTGGCCACGAAGGCCAGCCTTGGAAACGGGACGCGGAAAGAGTAGCTCGAAGGAGAGATAGCAAAAGAGGGAGAGCCAGCGAGAGAGAGAGAGACGAAACGCGACTGATTGTGAGAGTCGATCGTTTTATATACGTATGTACGTGGCACATACGTGTACATACGTTCAGATGTGTATGTATACGCGTATGTATACAGCGGACTCTTGAACTTCTGGGGACAAATAGAGACCAAACGAGCTCCTGGTTTGTCGTATAGGTATGCGTGTGTGTGTGTGTGTACACCGCCACCCTGCGGTACCATCCACTTACGGCCACTCGAAGTCTACATACGAACGTCGTGCTCTGTAGGTAGCCCACGATGGCTGCACGGGGAAACTAACGAATCATTATGCGAGGGCTCTGTGAATCTTACGTGCCCTCGCGCCGCCTCGAAAGCGATATCACGCGAGGGAAGGTCGGAGGAAGTGGAGCATGGCCGCGTTGCGCTAGTGTTCGAACCGCTTTTCATTTCACCAAGGACTCAACCGTGGCCCCGCGAATATTATTGGTAATTAATTATTGCTCCGATTTATTGTTCGAGTCCTTCTTCTCTTCCTCCTGCTCCTCCTCTTCTTTCTCTTTGGAAGATTCGATGGGCTTCTTTTCTTCAGGTGCCACCTACTTCTTTGAAGTAGAGATTGCACTCTAAAACAAGATCAACAACTTCCAGGTTACACGCTCGTTTTTTTAAACTTATCGTCAGTCTTAAAACTATCTCGTTTAACTTATTGACATTAGCGTTAAAAGAGGTTTGGTACCATTTCATGGCGTTTTATTCACAGATTGAAGCAAAATTAACGTTCAGGTTACTCGCTCGTTTTTTGAACTTGTCGACAGTTTTTGTTACCAAATATCACTACCACGGGAAATAGTTGGATTTCACGCCTTTCACTTGTGAAATTTTCTCGATCGAGACAAGAGGTAGATACTGCACTCTGTCCTGTCCTGAAACAAAATCAACAACTCTCAGGTTACCTGCTCATTTCTTAAACTTATTGATAGTCTTTATCATTAAGTATGATTACCAAAGAAAGGTTGATGATTTCACGTGAAATTCTTTCGATCGAATAGAGGCAAATTCTCGGAATTCGTCGCGCCAAATGAG